TTGCCTAACCGATTTAATCGCGACGCGATATCGATCCTAATAAAATCTCGGCGTAAGAGCGATGATCGATAATCGCGATTAGATCGGCCGACGCGGGTCAATTCGGTTATCGCGCGAGCAACGCGGAGAAGACTTTCAGTCGTTCTGGAATGGAACCGGGGCTAATTTAATTCAAGCCTCAATTATCGGTCGTACCGATCCCCCAGGCGGCTCTAACTTTCGTCCCTTCGATATAGCGCTCGCCGTTCCCAGAAGAGACTCGGCTATATAGGAATAGACGTGTAATATATAACTGCGCAAGGCCTCCGACCGTGTACCGCACCATTTTATCTTCGGTTTGACGTTTCATCCGCGAGAAACGAACTAAAGGTATCGACAAAACTTCAATACTGCGGTTTTTGTATGGTTCTGTCATTCTTCAGACCAGTCAATCTGGATGTATTTTTGGAACTTCTATTTGTGAGAGAGATGTATGATTTCATCTAATAGCAGAAAATCAACCGCCAACCAGCGAAGAGAAAATATTTGCGTAGTATTTAAAAATGGCAAAAATGTGGCGAAGAGAGAGAGTGCATATCTTTTATATACAGCTATGTTGATATTATTCTTACAATTCTTACGTAAATGTTCTCCTCTATATACGAAGCACATTCGAAGTAGGTTAATCTCAAGATAAATGTGAGCGACAAAAGTTTTTATGTACTTACATTTTTATCGTAAATTATAACATTGTGCTCTTATATACACATAAAAAATATATTTTCATTGCTATTTTATATCTAGTCAAATATATTATTACAATTTGTGCGACAAGTTCAAACAAACACACCGTTTATTCTAAAAGATTCGAAAACAAAATTTTATTTTTCAAATAATTCGTTTCGAGTTTTCTGATTTTTAATGGTGTCGATAATTTGTGCGAGTTCGAGAGACTTCTTAAATTTCTCAAAGTGGCCTCTTTGAAACGTTTCGCGGATTGAACGTGATGCGAGAAACGTGGCGCTCCAGGGCGCCATCATTGTCTGAACTTCGATTCAGCATGCTAGGCGTTTGAAAGCGAGCGAAAAAGAGAGAAAAAAGAGATAGGACGGAAGATGGAGGAAGAGAAAATGCATTCCATTCGTTCGCGAAGGAAGAACTCCCTATCTCTCCACCTGCCAATGATTTGACTTTATAATCGAGTCAGTCTCGTTCAATTACAATGGAATCTCTCGTGGAATTTGCCGCAAACAGTACGCGATTCACTGCCGCCCGATCGTGCTCTCCAGTAAATATTCGCCCGGTCGGCACTACGCGCCGGATGCATAAGCCGGTGCGCGACGAATGATTTTCTGGCTCATGATTAATTCACAGGTGAAAAGTGCTGTTAGTTTTACGAAAGAGGAAATTTGTTTAACCGTCAGTATCAAGAACGGAAAATGTTCGCTTGTGTTTATTCAAGCAATATTACGATATACATGTACGTACATACGTGTATATTACGCATATATTAATAATGTTATATTAATATCTCACATAATTTGATATTATAATATTAATACTATTATATACATTAATATATACAAATATATTCTGACTGTGCATACTGTGATGCGTATTTACTCAATTATCACATGTAATACACATGCACTTTACTATTGTCAACAAATAAATACGTCACATAATAATAATAATCACAATGATGTTACGTCGTGTGCAGTCACACAAAATACGATTAGTGTGAAACATTCATCGGGGTATCTGCGGCAAGCTGAAGTTCAATTGAAAGTAGAAAATCGCGGAATTCGACGAGAGGACACTCGTCGTGCCGATCCAAGTTTGTTTTCCTAAATACTGTTGGGAAATGTTTATTGAGCAAACACATCTGGATGCATACGATCGGCGTCACGATCCGTATCTATTCAATATTTTATGCTAAAACAACCGCTCGCCCAGAGAAACCTGATCACACGCGCGGACGCGTAGGTCGTCCCTACTCTCATCGTTCGGTAATGTATTCATTAGCGAGGTCCTCTATTTCGCTTAACCAAGAAATATTATCGCGAGTTTTAGCTACGTAAATTATAACGTGAATCTCAATCGCCGCGATTAAAATTCATCCGCGATGGAAAAACTCTTCCGGAATAATTTCATCGACCTTCGTGAAAAATTTAAATCCGGTTTACGATGAAAAAAACGCATCATCTGTTCTTAGATTTATCCTATTTCATATAAATAGATATGCGTTACTGAAGAATAGAACGAGCTATGTCCGTTTTATTTGCAAGTTTCTAGTTTCTGTAACAGAAATATGTTTAATATCACAAAAAAATTATATTATTATTGATCGCGTAACAATTATTGCTATTGAGAATTTGTAACGTTTTTGTGTTATATGTATAATAATAGTTATAATTTGATTCTCTCGATTGTTCATGTTTGATAAAATACATCTATTAAATCAAAATCAAATCACATTTTATCAATGAAATCGCCTTGTCACACACACACACACACACATATTTGAACAATGCTTGTATTTTAATGAAAATGATAACGTTCGTATACGTAACAATTTTATTTTTTATTTAGTTCAGCTCGCGCGTATTCGTCATCCAATCATCAACGTAAAATATCGCGAATCGAGCGCAGAATAGGATAAATTATATTCGTAGGCTGCAATTTCCAATAAAATGCATGATTTGCGCATGATTAATATGAGTCAAAATGTTAAAATTCACTCGACAATCGCAATATGATTCTAAAATCGAGTTATAAAACCGCGAAAGAAGTTGTACCTCCAAAAATCACAAAGAAAGATAAGCGCAATCGAAACATCTAATGGGAATAGGGTTAGATTACGCTGACCGCAGATAACATAGTTGGACCGTTCGGTTGTGAATGGTTGAACGAGTACAGCTATGATTTTCGAACGGCGGCCGGAAACACGCCTTTTGACGCCTGTTATAAACGTTAAATCGATTAGACAAGGACCGAGCTTTTACATTCGGAGCACAAATCGCGTTTTAACGCGACAGCGCGAATACGCGCGCATAGAGCAGCACTGCAAAAAAAAATTGCACAATCTTCAATTAAACTCTCCGACAAATCGAATCGGCAAACGTCGATTGTGCAAAAAATCAAATAAACATAATGGTTTTTTTTTTTTCAGGGTTTAGTCCTATACACTTTAACAGGTCGTAACGTTGTGTTGCGTCACAACACAACGAGAAAAAGAAAAGTAGTAAGTATCAATAGTTTATGAAACTGCAGTGGTTTTACATTCTGTCGATGCGTTTTTGTATTGGACAACGCGACGCAACGTGTCGCACGTGTCGAAGCTTTTTGGGGAAAACGTGGCAGCGTTTTATTTTGGCAGAATCTGTAAGCCGGCAATCACTATCGACGTGTATTTGCAGTCGGTTTAATGCAGCCGATACCGTCGCGTCTATCGGCATATTCGGCAACTCTAGAAAATCGATAGAATTGCGTTAGAACGCACGAACATTGTTTACGAGTCGAAAAATATTTGTGAGATTCGAGTTCTTGCATTAAAAATTTAATTTGCAAAATATTTGAGAACTTTGCACAATACGTATTTAATACATTGTTTTTCAAAACTGTCGCGATACTCGGAACATAAGAATTTACCGTAATTAGCCAATTGTTAATAGGTATTAAAAACTATAATAATATAGAACAAAATTAATTTACTTTTATATTTTTACGTGTTCATCAATTTATAATTTAAATTTTCAGTGGTCTTGAACAACACAAGTTCGATCTGAAAAGTTCGCGCTTCGAAGAAGAAAACAGATCTTATTTGTCGAATTTGCCTTGCAACGGTCCAAGCTTTATTTTCTATGTTTTCAAACTCAGTACGGAATATCCTACAGCTCCAACTATAGTTTCCTCTTTCGTAGAGTGGCCAACGCTGAAATCTTCCGCCGAGATTAAATGACTTCCAGTTGTATAGAATCTTAATGTCGGAAGGCGCTTTGTCGGAGATACAGCGCCGCCTTCTCTACGAAACAGCTTCAAGTAGGATTTAATGTTTCGTGAAACACGAAGTACAGATTAAAATGCCTTAGATAGGATTTACCTTCTCTCCTGTATTAAGCACAATTTTAGAAATATTTGCATCTATTCGAATAAGCTGAGAGTAACGAATAAAAAACACAGAATATTTATATTACTGAAGTATGTTTCTCTTACAAAGATTTCTAAATATTTTTTTTTAAATATATATTTGATAACAATAAGAAGAAAGAAACAAAATGGTTTTGCACATTGTATTAATTGCACAATTTATTATCGCATGTGTAATTATTTAAAAAAGATAGTTTAGTAATTAATTATTTATTTCCGTATATAAAAATATCTTTTTTTAAGAGAAATATTCAGTAACAATTTAGAAACAATAAAAAACGATTAAAAAACGACGAAGGCTCATATAGTATCAAACTAAAAAAGAAATATATTTGGTCAATATGAACCAATGTGCTATATGTTAAACAAATAATACTATAATTTTATTTATTTAAGCATGTAAATTATGACATGTATTAATTCGAAATAAATTTCAATTCAAAAATTCATTTTTGATGCTTGGTTTGCATCACATATAGATGAAATATCTTATTTGCCTCTCTGTAAATATTTAGATTACTTGTTTTGAGTATTATTTTTATTTTCCTATATTCATTTAGCTAATAACAAAGACAATCTGATAAAACATGGAATCTGAAATACAAACTCTTTTAGAATTGCTATTATTATTCTATAAAAACTCTTTTTACTTAAAATCTTAAGCTTTCATTATTCCATACACTTCACGTGATATTAATATTTACTATGTATCGAACATACTACCGTACCTAGTTTCTAATTAATTCATCTTGCCTTAATAAAATATTGGTTCGAACATTTTACGACGTTCGAACGGCACATAGCGATGCGGTCGATATCTCGCGTGAAGTTAGTTGCTGACGCATGCGCCTCGCGCTCGCGCACGTCGCCAGTCTCGGCAACTTCACGACAGTCCACAGTGGCAGTCACCGCGAGTTATCAGATACGTAGATTGTATGTAGTGGACTCATTTTTTCTAGTTCAATCTTGCTGTTGATTTCTCAACAAGTCCGCGTTTTTAGATGTAAATGCAAAACTCTTGAAGATTTTACTCGCAGCCATTGTGTCAAAGTGAATATCAGTTACTCTTCTACAAGATTTCGTAGTTATTGCAACGTTTATGTTTTTATTAATTAAAGCTCTTCCCCAATGCATTGAATATTGTTGTCTTGATTTTTATATAATACGATTGTTTCATAAAATATAACTTATTACTTCTTTGAACTGCAAGTTTGAATTCAAAAGTTTGTCTGGTGATCCTAACCTAATATAGTTAAAACAAAGTGTCACCTGTATATAATCATTAAGTTATAATTAGTAGTAATTATACTTTCTTAATTAATCTATGTAAAAGCGAAATAAGTTTTCAAGCTTTGTTTAAGTAAATATAAAAATATGAATACTATTAACTTTTATCTTTTTGTTTGCTTACAGTCTGAGACAAGATGTCTACATCAGCGATATACATTTTGGATGTGAAGGGCAAGGTGTTGATTTCACGAAACTACCGTGGTGATATTGAGACTGGTGTTATTGAGAAGTTTATGCCACTTGTAATGGAACGTGAAGAGGAAGGCAATCTTACTCCTATTATCCAGACTCCAGAATGCACATACGCATACATAAAATATAATAATTTGTATATTGTGTCCACCACGAAAAAAAATGCAAACATATCTCTTGTATTTGTATTTCTGCACAAGGTGGTGCATGTCATGCAGGAATATTTTAAAGAGTTGGAAGAAGAAAGTATACGAGACAACTTTGTTGTTATTTATGAACTTCTGGATGAATTGCTAGATTTTGGTTATCCTCAAACTACTGACAGCAAAATTCTACAGGAATATATTACTCAAGAAGGTCATAAACTAGAAATTCAACCTAGAATTCCAATGGCTGTGACTAATGCCGTCTCTTGGCGATCTGAAGGCATCAAGTATCGTAAGAACGAAGTATTCCTAGATGTAATAGAGTCGGTGAACCTTCTGGCAAATGCCAACGGAAATGTTTTGAGCTCGGAAATTGTTGGTGCCATAAAAATGAGAGTTTATCTATCTGGAATGCCAGAACTGAGATTAGGTCTCAATGACAAAGTTCTCTTTGAATCAACCGGACGTGGCAAATCAAAGTCCGTTGAGCTGGAGGATGTCAAGTTTCATCAATGTGTGAGACTCTCGCGTTTCGAGAACGATCGAACAATCTCATTCATACCACCAGACGGCGAATTCGAGCTCATGTCATACAGGCTGAACACACATGTGAAGCCTCTTATATGGATCGAGTCTGTGATTGAACGACATGCTCATAGCAGAGTTGAATATATGATCAAAGCAAGATCGCAGTTTAAACGTCGTTCTACGGCGAACAATGTGGAAATTGTGATTCCGGTACCAAACGACGCAGACTCGCCCAAATTTAAGACTACAATCGGCAGCGTCAAGTATTCGCCCGAGCAGAGCGCCATCACTTGGATCATCAAGTCATTTCCTGGCGGCAAGGAGTATCTTATGAGAGCGCACTTTGGTCTACCGTCAGTTGTCGGCGAAGATGTCGAAGGCAAACCGCCTATACAAGTGAAATTTGAAATACCATATTTTACTACGTCCGGAATTCAAGTACGGTACTTAAAGATTATCGAGAAGAGCGGTTATCAGGCACTGCCATGGGTTCGTTACATCACCCAGAATGGCGACTACCAGTTACGAACAAATTAGCTATTTGATAGCGAGACCGATGACGATCTTGGACGACTCTGTCATGTCCGAAAGTAAGGATTAGTCGAAGAATACCTATGCTTCTGAGAGAAAACGATAATCATTTATATTTTTCGTTCGACTGTTAAACGACAAGTTAGTGAAAAAATATAGATTCGCGGAATACGGAGTGAAAACAAAGATTTAAAAACAATTCCTTTTTTTTAGAGAATTCACATCCTGCATGTAGTTCCGCGGTTTTAATATCTCTTTATAATGAGCAACACACACACGCGCGCGCGCTCGCACACACACACACACACACACACACACACACACACACGCAAGAAAAGATTTTTCGAAGATATTTTGCTTCAATTATATTCGTATCTTAAAAGTACTTACCCCGCATGGGATTCCACTCAAAAGAGTTAACTTTATATATCTGAGTTTGTTTTTTTTTTTTTTTAACAATGACTGTAGGATAAATAGTGTCTAATAAAAAAATATTTTGTAACTTGAATCATGTAAATATATCGAAAAACTTCATTTTGTAACATTTTTCTTTGACTAGAGATGAATTTATGAGCAAACAACTGCTCGACATTATTTTAAGATAATATATAGTATTATTATCGATAAAATTTAACATATTGTATATCTGAATATCCTATTGTATATCTGAATATTACGTTGAAAATAATTGTAATATTGTTCTACATGTCACTGTGACATTAATGTAAAATAGTATGAAAATATAATATTGAACTTTTAATATATATAGAAATGTGTTTTTTGTGACAACGCCAGTCTCTCATCATTTCTATATTTCTCTCTTTCCGTTACTATATTGCGACATATTGTAAGAATTTTCATTCTTCGGAAAATCGAAGATTGCTTCGCTGCGTCATACTGCTACTGCCGCGTCAAGAATGGCATAAGTGCTCGTCGATGCAACGCGAGAAAAAAAACGATAAATATTTTACGTAAGAGAGGAGAGAGAGAGAGAGAAAGAGAGAAAACTTGTGTCAGCGTTCGCACGCAGCGCGCAAGAGAGGACACGAAAACGCGATTAGAGCGGAATGGTAGAAGCCGAAACCTTTTTATTGCAACGTCCTTTTTCCTCGCACGATGTGGCACTACCCCGAATGCTCGCGGTATGCAAATTTTTTGGCATGAACGTGCACGAGCGTATAATAATTTTATGGAAATCAGTAGTCCTGTCAAGCACTTGCTTGTGCAGAATTTCATGCGCGCGCGCGACGTGAATCGAGGAAAAAAAACGCGCGCAAAAAAAAAACCGAGATCTCTCTTCTTATGGGCCACGATAGGTGACGCCTTCGTAGTCACAATTATGGCTCGTATTGAGAAAAGAGTGACGTCCGCGTGCTCATTTCGTATTCATCGCTGGTGTCGGACGGAATACTTTTTTTCTTTTTATCCAGAAGCTCCGTTACGTACTGCATTACAGCGCACGGGAATACAACGTGTGCAGATAGCGATGGTAATATTCGGTTTCCGCATAGATAGTAATCGGTCTGGAAAATAGCAGAGTAGTTACGAATGAATTAGCGGTTCCGCGCGCGTGTACAACGTGGGCTCCTCGCGATCCAATTTGAACAATATAATTTTTAACAGTAGAATTTAGTAATTGCGGTACACGAGCGAAAAAAGTATTGCAGTAGAACTATATAATTTTTCGGTACAAACACGTCTCGTGTAATGATCTTTTTCGTTTATGTTTTATATTAGTTTTCTATTTTATTTCACAATTTTTCGATATTTCTGTTACGTTTACACATCCCTTATAGAAATTTGTTACTATAACCTAGCCAAAATAATACTTATTTTGAGTAATTAAAAGCACAGTTTGTCAGTAATTTTGATTATTAAAATCACTGTTAAATTACTCAAAATAAGTAGTATTTTAGCCACACCACTGATAAATTTCTGTAAGGGATGTACTACCACACGTATATAATTTTTCTTTTGGTATAAGAATTTTGTCTCAAGAAAAACCGTGATAAGAGACGCAATGACCCGTAAATTGTTCTACTTTTAGTAAACGAGATTACAAATAAAACGATTACAAATATAACATATTAGCAATTTTAGCTAATGACATGATCAGTTAGATCCGTTCAATTAAATACAAGAAGCAATAAATGGCAGAAAAGTTTTAACGCGCGTTTCCTTTCTTCTTATCGTTCTTGTAACGAAACACCCGTTTTCCAACGGAAAAAAAGAGACCGGAAAAAGAAGTACCATATCCGAGTACCCCTACGGAGTATACGACGGAATTTGGGTCAAGCAATTCCGAGAGAATTCATCTCCTTTCTTGCTGTGTGTTGCGAAGCCGCTAATAGAAAAAGCAAATTTACCGGTCGAGCCAACGGCGTCGAGAAAATCCGACTCGATCGCGTGATGCCCGGCGGAGATGATAATGGGACGCGAACAGAAAATCTGCTGAGGACTCTGCCGCGAAGAGTCCGTCGGTCGCGCAGAATTCAGAAAATTCTGGCAAGGACAATTTAAAGTTGTGTACTTCAAACCATCTCGCGAACTCTCGTCTTGAGTAATTTCCCTCTTTCTCCTTTTTCGCTTCGGGCGCTCTTTACGGAGAAACGATATTAAAAATTATTTGCAAGATATACGCGCGCACATAAATATAGACGCAGAGACGGCGCGAGCGTAAGAAAAGTTTTGAGAGAGCAATTCGTATTAACGAGTTACGCCGCGAAAACACGCGATCGATACCGATTGTATGTTAATGTCAATGCAAGAACCGAGTAATTTGGTTCGCGCGTCTCACGCTTAAGCGGCGTGAGAGCGTGTACTTCCATCGCCGTGGAAATTCGCGAACTTTGGTGACTTTTCCGGGTCTCTCGGAATCCGCCGCGCGAATTAACACGCCGAACACGAGAGCGCGGTACGTCCGAAACTCAGCACCAAATACACGTCACTCAAGCGTTTCCCACTGCAAATTTGCAGCGCTGATCGCGACTGGTTCGAGACTCTCTCATTGTTCATAATGAAGATCGAACGCGAAAGCTTCAAATATCAATACATGAAATCTATCAGCTGCGTTTTCCTAATTACGCGCATATAGGATATTATTTCGCATATAAAATATCGTACATAAAATCGAGAAAATGACGTATCTTGTATTTTCGTGTTCGGTAAATGTACCGAATAGGGGAGTCCCCTCCAATTGCTTTGACTCTTTGACATATATTATAATGATCATTCTTCGGAGTACGTTCCACAACATTTTATCCGTCGCGCTCATTGTTTATTAAAAAGTTATACACAAAAAAAAGTAGTTTCTCCACACCGTGTACATTTGAAAAGTAAATATTTTGTTCATATCATACACTATTGTACACGTATAAGCAGGAGAAAGTCATCAACTTATTTGTTTGCTTCCCATCTTCTATAAATAATCTAATTGATCACTGCGATAATAGTGTACATTGATAAGCGATGCACATCGTGTGGATGTGGAACTTCGCTTCGCGTGGAAAGTATACGCGTTGAGCAGGCCCCCCTGCGGGAGTACTTTACTAGTCCATTTTGTTACACGATGATGGGCCTTCCCGAAGATAGTCTGCTCAACGCGTATACTCTCCACGCAAAGCGAAATTCAACGCAACTTATGTGTTTAGTTTTTTACGACACATGTACGATAATGTATAGAACTACATAAGACACTGTTCGAGCGAAAACACCGAAACAAAACAGTAAGCTTTGTGTTTTGCATGCTAAATGTATTTGTGTGTAACACATACATATATTAGGAACGTATACATTTATTTGTGAAACATATATGGTGTCAGAAAACGATAGTTTACTGATAAAACTGTTTTTAAATTAATAATGAAGAAGAATAAGATTTTTCGGGGCTCGGAAGTCTTTAAACTAAAGCCGAAGATTCCAGGTTCGACTCCTGGCTGAGGAGTTTTTCTCGCAATATTTTAAAATTAGTTAAGGGGGTATAAGGGGTTCTTCATATATACGTGATGCAAATCTAGCGTCCTATATAGAGGAAAAAAATTATTTCGTTAAATATATGTGTATGCATATATATATATATATATATATATATAATAATATTAAATATATATATATATATATATTTAAGCACATTCTCTCTGCACAACATCCTGCAAAACGGCTCAAACAATCCGATTTTAAAACTGTTTTTGTTTAGAACTTTTTAATAAACAACGAGCGACGGCTAAGACTTTTTTTATTGTTACTCAGGATGATAATCTTTATAATATATGTGAAAATCAAAGCAATCGAGGAGAAGGCTCCTCTATGTAACCGTTCGGTTTACATTTTACCTCGTGTTTTAGCCCAAAACGTCTGACGCTCGCGGCTTTTTCTCTGCATAGTGTAATTTACATCGTGTATCACCGCTTTGTGTTTGTACGCGCGTTGAATACGCGCGCGCACACAAGCCTATATTAAACACGACATGTTCTCTGAGAGAGGAAATGATATTAAAATAATTTCGTTGAGCGCGAATGTATTCCACGGCTAATTATGTGCGGGGCGCTTCTCGCCGATCTACATAATGACATGCACAAAATGGAAATATCGGCCCGTTATGAAATCAATTATTATTGATAATATTAATCACCAATTGCGCGTTCACCGAAACCGTTCACTGCTCTTTTCTCCGCGTACCTTCTATATAAATTATTCGAGTGTGCGCGATGTTGCCGCCGCTCTAGATATTACGCGCGGAAGATTCCTTAAATGTTGTAATGGTTTCTCCTATATTTTAAGTAAATAGCTTCGAAGCATCGAAATATTACATAGTCGTCGCGGCATTCAGAGCTACTTGAAATAGTTATCATACTCTATATATCGTTGTTGCAGCTCGTCGGGTCTCTGCGCGCTGTAAAATTACAGGGGTCTTTTCGACGTTAATCGAAAAGCGACGTTATTCGAAAATTAGATAATTTATCTATGCGGAGCGAGAGAAAATACGTTTCGATGAAAACAGTTTTCATTCTCGCGCAAAACTCTATATTTGTCATACCTGAAACGCATTAATCAATACAGTAACGATAATGTGTTTTTACATATATTCGCGTACATGTGTACGAGAACGCAGTAAAACAGGTGCGCCGTTAAAATATATAGAGGTGAGATACGGTTTTTGAACATTCGTTACGAGCAATCGTACTCGAATTATTTCAGACGGCGAAATTCGATATATCGGTAGTCAATACAATAGTTCTGATGAAACTTTGCACCGAATAGCCTCTAAATGCGAACATTGAATCCATAAGCGTACTATTGTATTTCCGTACTTATTTATATATAAATGCGCGCCATTAATTTTGGTGATATGTCAAAAATCAGAGCGCGATGACAAATATCGTTTATCGCGGGCCTCTCATGTAATATCGATTTCAATCAAAATATTTTCGTTTTTATTTTATTAATCAAAATATTTTTCTCTTTTTTTCATTTTAATTAAAATGTTTTCTTTTGTACGTGTAAATTAAATTACAAAATGCTTCATCGATATGTTTTCTTTTTTGCAAAAGTAATGAATCGACAAATTACATTTTTTTTTTTTTTTTTACCGATCAGCCTAGCCGCGTTTGCGTTCGACGACTTTTTATATCTCAGTCAGTAGTAAAAAAGACAATTGTAAAAAAACGCCAT